AGCCCGATGCGGGGCTCGATCCCAGGACCCTGGGATCATGACCTGAGCCGAAGGCAGACGCTTAATGACTGAGCCACCCAGGCGCCCCATGATTTCCTTTTTCATCGTTGAACTTTCTTAACACCAGAAGTTTCTCTTAATACCATGCCCGCAAGTATGACAACTGCAAGGCTTTGAACACTGAATAGACGCAAGGAATGAAGAATACATGAAAAGGGAAATGAGTGGATTTCTGCAGTTGGATAGAAAAGTGACATGTAAAATAAGTGGTTGGATCAGAGACTAAGCAGTTTCACATTTGTAAGGGAGCTGTTCCTTGTGACCGAAAGGAGTGAAATAATACTGTACAGATCTTGTTCAGTCAACAAGCACCCATTATGTGCCTTGTCCTGGACAAGATAGGCCATATTCTGGCCCTTAAGATCATAGAATGCAGGTAGAGGACATTAAATGAGTAAGAACTGTCCCTGTACACTTCTCTATCCTCATGTCCGATGATCTCTCCTTCTTTTTTTTCTGTAATCCACAAACCTCTCATTTCCTTAAGTGAGTCAAGCTCCCTCTAGCCACAGGCCTTCTACCTGTTCCCTCTGTCTATAATTCCTCACTTCCCCAACCCCCACCCATGGCCTGGCTGATTTTAGACTTCCTTTGGCTCTCAGATTCAGTGGAAGTTAGGGACATAGAATTCTGTCATTGTCTTTAGAGCAGTAACATTTTGCTAAAATAATTCAGAACATATATCCACATCTTGGGACTCAGAAAAATGTTAACTGGTTTGTTCTTAAACAATTAAGAAGTAAATGTGGATAAATAATTCAAATCTAGTTTGTGCCTAGTTTATAGGCATAGTAGTCTTAGGATCTTCCAAAATTAGGGATGCTTCCCTTGGGTTCCAGATTGTACATTAATATTTTTTAAAGCAATAAGATAGAAATTTCAGGTCCCCAAGAGATGGGTCTAGGATTTCACTGTAATATGAGTTGTGGAGCCATGACTGATGTCACTTGCAATATTTCTCTTCCCTGATGGAAGAGGTTTATAATTTTCAAATAGCCCAGAGCAACAATGGGCCTTATGGTGTCTGATAGAATAATTTTACCAGAGATACACATAAATGAATATAGTATATGATGCACTAATCTCCTCAGAAGCTCTCATTTAACAGAATTAGGAAGAAGTGTGTGGTAATCAGATTATAATTTGAAGTTATGTATTTGTCCTGAGGTAATTAAGATTCCAGTAGTACAATATATTTGACTTCCTTAGAGACTTTTTTTCTTTTAGTACAGGATAAATATGATGTTCTCTTTCTTGGAAGTTTTTCTAGGATTTGTTTCTTAGTAAGAGTAGTGGGGGCATTATTTAAAAGTTACTGTGTTAATTAATTAATTAATTAATTCACCCAGGACTCAGCCTAGTCATTTCCAAAACTGAGAGACATTACCTCTTGTTAATAGACCCTTAAGTTTGAGAAAATCAAAAGATCTTTAAAACAGCAAACAAGAGTGGACAGGGTGACATGGTGAGTATCATCCTTATCCCACAAGTGCTTTATTTTACTTGGCACACATACAGGTACAACTGTCACTTAACATTTTATACCTGAACTTATACCATTTTTCATGCTTGAGATACTGTGTAATTGCAAAAATTCTAAAACCTACAGCACAGTGAGGACCCAGATTTTGTTTTGTAGTAGTTTTTGCCATCAGGAATTTATTCTCACAACTCTGTAATTTAAGACTCAAAATAATGTAACCAAATAGGAAAGAAAAGAACAAATACGGACAAATAAGCTCTGCTTTAGCCTGTTTAGTTTCCTTTCCTTGGATCTCTGTACAAGAGGTTTTGCCTTATGTGTTAATTGTAATTAGTAGGCAGAAAGGGGGTTGGGATTTTAAGTGGAGAGATCAGGGGAAAAGGGTTCAACGAACTGGAAGGTCAAAGCACTGAATGCAATGTTTTTATTATTGTTGTTGTTGTTGTTATTGTTATTATTTTCTGTAGAAATAGCCAAACACAAACTTGTAGTCCAATTGTCATGATGCTGCAGCTATGACAACCCCTGAGAGTGGGCTCTCTGGCTAAAAGTGTATCTTGAAACATAGAACAAAGGGTCAGGCCTTTTCAGATTTACTGTTCAAGTTGGGCAGAACATATCCACAGAACTTGGAATCCACAGGTATTTGCAGTAGTGTGATCCGATAGCTAAACCGTCTGTCCTGGTGAACCATGTCTAGAGCCCAGACCTAAGGCTGAATGCTGGATCACACACTCCTTTTGTATAGATTGGAAGGTTCCAGTTTTGGAGTTTAGTTTGGTTGCAATGTGGAGTCTTGAGATCACAGTGTTTTCTTTTTGGCTTTCTGCCTCATAGGACCCTCTCTCCACAAAGGTTTGTAGAAAATGTCCACCATCCTTGGGTGACCCACAACTTCTTAAGTTGTACTCAGAACCACATCAACGGGGAATGGGATCAAGACCAAAGGGTTTAAATGACCATTCTGGTAGATGAGATGAATAGAAGAATATCCTATGTGTATGTATAGTTTCAGAATATCTTATTTCAATAGTCATATTTGGCCTATAAATTTGTAGACAATGTAGTAATATCAGGTCTTCTTTTTCAGAGCTCTTTAAATCATGGAAAAACAAAGTAAGTAATTTAAGTGTTTACTTTCGTTTTATAATGTTAAATCTGTTGTTAATATATTCTTTGTCATAGTGTTTTACTCAGTTTCTGAAAAGATATAATTTCCTTTGTTTTGTTTATGCTTCAGAACTCAGAGTCTAGTTCATTGTTTTGACTGTAGAGACAATCTACACATATATCCACTAAGTTTTCCTCTAAAAATAATAATAAAAAAAAAACTTAGATAAGCCTAAGGAATTTTAGTCTTACTGGGAAATATGTTATATAATTTATACTATATTCCATCTAGATCAGTTTTTCCCTTTTAATGTGCACTTTATATACATAAACATTATTTAACTCAAATTAACAGATAATAAATTTAATATGTCAGTCCACTGTAATAAAATCTTCAGATATATCCTTGCTATATATTTCATAACATTCACATGTGAACAGGTTTAAATAAATACCAATCGTATGTTATGGCTTTTTACTATCAAGAAAATTCTAGGGGTGCCTGGGTGGCTCAGTCAGTTAAGCGGCCAACTCTGGATTTCAACTCAGGTCATGATCTCAGAATCATGGGATCAAGCCCCTCATTGGGCTCCATGCTTAGCATGGAATCTGCTTTCCCTCTCCCTCTGCTCTTCCCCTTTCTCTCTCTCTGTCTCTTTTTATCTCTCTTGTTCTATCTCTAAAATAAATAAATAAATAATAAATAAATAAATAAATAAATAAATAAATAATTCTATCTTAAAAAAAAAGGAAAATTCTAAATAAGATGGGTATTGACCAAACATATGATAAAAGACTTTGTCTTTTTTTAAAATCTAAACTTCTGAAGAGAAAAACAATATATATGGGGGAAAGTGTGAAAAACAAAATCCTGTTTTGTGAGAAGATTTATATTCTGTTTATTTTTGTTTAGATACCAAAGAGACATTTATCTCTCACCACAATGTCAGCCTTGCTAGATACATTAGATACTCTGTAGGACTAGAAACCTCAGCTTTCCTTCATGAAGTTTCATGATCTTCTCTTAATGTTTGCTATATTAATTTAATTTTACTTACAAAACTTTTTAAATGTACATTGTTACAGTATTACACTGCTAAATCTGCTGCAGCATTAGGATGCTTCAGATCACTTTAGAAACATTCTTTTGGCCAAGGTCATAGTCACCTTTTAACTCTTTTTCTTCATATATATAATTGTGTGTGTGTGTAAATATGCATAAATAGGAATAAAATGTATATAAGTATGTAAATATATATAGAAGTAAAAATTAAATTTCTTTATAACATGACATTCCTATGATATCTGTAAATTATTTTAAGTTCCATTTCACAAATGCAGAAATCCATTCATCATTCATATGCTCTTTGGTCTATTTAACCACTTCCCCATTTGCTTGTTTTCCCTTTATATGAATTTCTGCTGAAATTCCTAAAACTGGGATAAACACTCTGGAGCCAAAACTGCAGAGATTATGAGCTTCTAATTTCTTGAATCTATCAGCTCCTAGATATGCATATGTATTTACCATTGTTCAAATAATGGTACCTATTAAGAGGTGCCAAAATGTGACATATCATTCAAGAGTAGATCTGTTAGTCAGACTTGCAGTGTGTTTTCTTGAGATCTGGTAAGTGTGATCCCACTCAGGTTGGGAGTGGGAGCTGTGAACAGGGCCTTGAGAGCTAGAGAGCTAAGAGGTAGGCCACCCACTTGAAGCCAACAAACAAGGGAATGGTTGGGATGGAATGACCTGTGGTAATTCAGAGATCTGTAATAAATCAGGGTATGTTGCACTATCTGTTCAGGGAAAAGCCCAGATGGAAGTAGAGGATTCTTTGTTACCTGAATTTGCACAGTCTTCATGGACTCCATTCTGCTGAATGTATTATGAAACCAATTGAATGGAGGAGGAGGGTGGCTCACAATCCAGCTTTCCTACTGAAACCACATGAGTTGAGTGGTCTTTGAAGGCCTATGGTAAAGAAGTACATAGAAAATATATCAGATTGAAAGTTTGACTTACATTTTCTTCTGTATTAATGCCATGCCTTCATCATTCAGTAAGAAACTCTTGAATTTATAGTTAGCAAGCCGTAATGAAACATGGTTTAAGTGTAGGGTCCACTAGATCATAAGTTGCATGAAGACAGAGGCAGTATAGCCTCAGAGCTCAACTCAGAGGCAAGATAGGAGGTGTTCAACAAATATTTATTGTCTGACTGGGATGGCTACTAAATAAGTGACTAGAAAACATATATGTTTTTTGTAATTCAGTCAGTTATGATTTTTGTAGGTCAAAATCAGTCAAATATTAGGAATTTCCTATGGTTCAACCTTATTGGGATAGTTGCAGAGTAAGCATTAAAAGGATATTTAAATACTGAAGTGTATGCATTATTTTACATATTTTTAAAATAATTCTTACAGCAGTAATTATAGATATCTTTGAAATCATCCATAATCTTTCCATAACGATCCCTACATCTTTCTTCATTGTATGTGGTTTTAAACCACTGTTTTCCTAATGCCACCAGAATCAAAATATGGAAGTGAACATTCATCAGGCATATTTGAAAACTAGAAATTGAGCTTCAGCCACTCAGCTGTCTCATTTTATCCAAAACGGAATTTGTTTGAAACAGGATTCTACTGCAAATTAAGTCTGATAGCAAGCATTGCTTTTGTTGAGTGAAGAATTCACCTTACCAATTTTAGTACAGCACAAGATCATATAAATGAAAATTATTTAAATTTAAATTATTTAAATTGTTTAATGTATTTTTCTTTCTGACATATATTTTATTAAAGTAGATATATGTTTACCTCTCCCTGAATTGCAGATGGACAAATGAATGCTCCTCATCCAGGAACAAATTTACCGCCTGGACATCTCCCTGTATATCCTTCAGCAGCATTCCAAGGTAAAACATTTGTTTAAAGAATAAAAACTCCCAATTTTTCAATTATTGATATTCCCCAAAGAGTGTATGTGTCTGCCTGTCTGTGTGTGTATATTTTAGTAGTGTCTTTGACTAAAAGTGCAATGATGAAATTGGCAGCCTAGTTCTTGGTTTTTTTGCTTGACTGTGTATTCTCATAAATAACATAAATGTAATTTTTACTTATACAGGATAATAAAGATGTAGAGTCAATAAAAACAGTAGTGAGTTTACATTTAGCAAATAAAGTTTGACATAAATTAAACCCCCAAATACACATTTTAAGTAAAAGATTTAATTGATTCTTCATCTCTGAAAATTGTCATCATGTAATCATTTTCATTTAGACAAATGCAGTTATCAAAATTACTAGAACTTTACTAAATGGCAAAGTTCATGGTGCACCCAGATTTACAATTAGTCTGGCTACTACCATCTTGAGAGACCATCCTGGGGATTTAGGGTCAAAAGGAATCAGGTTTGGACAGAAGGGTATATCTGGTTTGTTTTCTCCTCTGAGCAAATAAATCTGCTTGGGAACTAATTGGCCTGTTTAATTGTCTAGCCAAAAACTTCCCTGTAGGGCCTGGATCTCAGCCAGATGTTTGCAGTTAGAAGAATGAGCTAGAAAATCTCTGCGGTTATAGTTCTCAAGAGTGCCTGCACTTAAGTAGTACTTGGAAGCTCTTAAAAACACTATACCAGGGCACTAGCCCAGGAAAATTAAAGCAGAAGCTCAGGTAGTGGGACCCAGGGGTTAGTAATTTTTTTAATTTCCCAGGTAATTCTAATGTGCTGCCAGGGCTGAGGATCGCTGCTCTGAATTCTTATATGATGACTGTTTGAAGAATTATTAGCAAGCTGTAATATTCATCCAAGGCACTTGGAGAATGATTTAATCCACCCCACAGATAATTAAAAATGGGTGATACATAATTAAATTTAGTTATAATCAGACTTGAGAGTTTGTGAGAAAAATAGCTTAATTTTATTTCTCAAGTCCAAGGCCACATATAGTTCAGGTCTTAATATGACAATGATGCTAACAGTAGTGATAGTTTAAAATTGAGAGCTCACTGTGCATAATGTAGATTAACTCATTTAATTCTCAATCTTATGAGGTAAATACTATTAATTGTCCCCATTATGCAGGTGGGAAAAAGGCATAGAGAGGATGTATCAGGCTTCAAGTTCTGGCTTCTATACTTAATAGTTGTGTGGTGGTTCAGACAACTTGCTCTATACCTCTAAGCCTCAGTTCTTTTTTTTTTTTTAAGATTTTATTTATTTATTTGAGAGAGTGAGAGAGAGAGAGCATGAGCAGTGGCAGAGGGAGAGGGAGGGGGAGGGAGAAGCAGACTCCCCGCTGAGCAGGGAGCCCAATGTGGGGCTCTATCCCTGGACCCTGGGATCACTACCTGAGCTGAAGGCAGATGCCCAACCGACTGAGCCATCCAGGTGCCCTAAAGCCTCAGTTCTTATCCATAAAATGGGGCTAATATTTTCCAATTCAGTTTTGTTTGGAGATTGAATGAGAGTATATGTAAAACACCTAGTACAATGATTTACAAATAATAAGTGACAAATATTTGTTGACTATTATACTAATAATATATTAAATCAATTGGACTTTATACAAATGAAAATATTATCCAAATTTCAGGTAATTCTGTATGCTTAATTCATTGATTTGTGAAATAATCAACTACCCTCTCCAAGAGTCTTGAGAAGATTGGAAATATGCTAATAATGTAACCTATGAACTCATATATCCCCATTTGGTTTGCCTGTGATCTGATCTTTGCACTGTAGCCAGTGATCTTTAAAAATGCTTATCTGTTCATATTACAGACAATATTCAATGTGTACTTCATTGTTTTTTTGTTGCTTTTATGATAAAGGCCAAAATGCTTAATTTGGTTCACCAGACCTGAGGGATCCCCTGCATTCTCTTTAACTGTCTCTTAAGCCTGACTCTCTGCTATTCAAGTCGACGTGCCTTTTTACAGATGAGTAGAAACCCTGTATGTGTTGCTGTCCCAGGGCTTCTCTGTGAAACCTTTTTCCCTATGCCCCTAGTTTACTCAACTCCTTTGTATCCTTTAGATCTCAGCTGAAAGGTGGTCCTCAGGGAAGCTGTCCCAACTCCTTCCTTTTCTCTCTCCCCATCCCAACACTTTCTTTTGGCATATATAGTCATAAAAATCTGGTCCCTTCTTTCAAAGAGCTTGTCTTCGACTCTCGTTAATCAACTGATCATACTGGTGTTGTGGATCCCTAGAGTGAAGAATAAATATAAAGTTATCTTCCCCATTAGGCAGTGAGGGAAGGGATTGCATCTGCATTTCTCATTTTAAATCCCAGTGCTCAGCACTCCTAAAAACTTTGTAAGATATAAATCAGATTATGGAATTCACTTGTCTACTTAAAATCCTCAAAGGCCTGTCAATCACACTTGGAATAAAATCTAAACTCCTTATGAATGGGCTCCCTAGATGAACTGCTCCTATTTCTTCACTGATAGCAGTTTCTACTCTTCCTCTCCTTTATGATGTTTCTTTCTCAAACATACCAAATTCATTCCTAAAGTCGAAGATTTTTGCGTTTGGTTTTCCTTCCTCTTAAACATTTCTCACCAGATCTTCACACAAAGCTTTTCCTTCCTCATATTCTAGATCTCAACAGAGTTGTTTTTTTTTTTTCTATCTAAAGTAACTAGTTGATACCTTTCCCTCTCCACCATGCATTTTCTCTATGAGTTCAATCTGAAATCTTTTTTTTTTTTTAAAGATTTTATTTATTTGTTAGAAAGTGAGAGCGTGGGCGAGAGAGAGTGAGCGAGAGTACAAGCAGGAGTAGCTGCAGGCAGAGGGAGAAGCAGGCTCCCTGCTGAGCAAGGAGCCCGATGCGGGACTCGATCCCAGAGCACTGGGATCATGACCTGAGCTGAAGGCAGCCGCTTAACTGACTGAGCCACCCAGGCGTCCCTATCTGAAATCTTTTAAAAAGAATTTATTTACTTTTTCCCAAAAGTTGCCCTATAAGCATCCTGAGGACAGATTACCTTGTTGATAGCTGTGTCCTCTGATTCTAGACCAGAACCAGTCACATTGTACAACATTGGTAAATATTTATTTATTCTAAGAAGGAATGAATTATAAAAACTATATTTAGAAGGTATTAGTATGAGATTTAGTCTCTCTTCTAAATCTTTTTATAATGATGTATGTATTTTGCCATCAATGATTTTTTTTAAAGTATTTATAAATTATATAATCTAAGAATAAATTTTACATAGCCTTTCCTGTTAAAATATTATGGAACACATTCCTTTGAAATTATATTCCATTCCTGTGGGATTGCTACTCTGTGCACTATTCATGTAAGCTTATGAAGCTTCATTGTAATCACAGATTCATGTGGAATACAGAATATACACCTATTAAATTTCTTCCTCTCCTGTGCTTATTAAATACCTAAGACAAGTTTGCCTATTGTAACTTTTTCCCTTCCTTGGTTCTCAAATTGTATTTTTCAGAGTGCTGAGAGCAGTAAATTATGAAATTTAAATTTGTAACCTAACTATCATAATGGCTTTTTTTTTTTTTCTTGTAGGAGGTCTTAGGACAGGAATGTACCATGGGTTAAAAGTTCAGGCCAATTGTTAACCCAGATAAGCACCTGGACAATACTGGAAGTAACAACATGCTTTTACCTCTCTACCAGAGTTTCTCAACAGCAGCACTATGATATTTTGGGATGTATAATTCTTTCTTTTCAGGGAACTGTTCGGCATTTCAGGAAATATTTAGCAGCATTACTGGGCCTCTATCTACCAGATGCCAGTATCATCCTCTGTTCCAGCTGAAACAACCAAAAATGTCTCCAGACCTTGCCAGATATTTCTTGAAGGGGTAAAACCACCCGTAGTTCTTTACATAGGGAGGTACTGTTTCCTACCATTCCAGAATTATATTTTTATAGAGTGCTTTGGTTTTAGAAATGCTGACCCAAAGCCTTTGTTTTGGGCCTTTGACACAATGACATCTCTTTTTTCTATTAAAGTATTCCAGACTCTTTATGTAGGTGACTCTAGATCATTGTTGATTTTCTGTCACTTTCTTAGGTTTCAAGAGTATTTTCAACTGAGTTTTGAGCAATGGATAAGGCTTGGGCCAACTCTATTCACAGCCCCAAGCCCTATAGGAGTGGATATGAAACCACAGATATTTCATTGAAAAATTGCTGAAAGATAAAAACACAATGTTTAAGCTTCATAGAAGCAGGATTTCTGAGCTGAAATTTCAGTTTGCAGAGTTTTAGGAGTAATCCCAAAAGAATTCATGTTTCATTTTCTGTGTGGTTACAAATTATTTCACCTGTTTGTATTTCAGGACCTCCAGAACATACTGGCTACCCTGGCCCCCAGGTTGGCTATCCTGGCCCTCAGGCTGGCTACCCTGGCCCTCAGGCTGGCTACCCTGGCCCTCAGGCTGGCTATCCTGGCCCCCAGGCTGGCTACTCAATTCCACCAGCTGGTTATTCAGGTGCTGGCCCAGTAGGCTTTCCTGTCCAACACCAGCCAGTGTATAATCCGCCAGGTGGACCTGCAGGGGTACCGTGCATGCCAGCACCACCACCTCCATTAGACTGTCCACCTGGATTGGAATATTTAAGTCAGGTAATTTCAAATGAATGAAACACTCATAAAAAATAAAATTGTCCGTATAGTTCACTTAATGAAATCAACAAATGACTAATTCACAAAAGTCTGAAATGATTAAACAACATTTAATGCTGACAAATTACTATACTTCTAGGTGAAGTTTACTTTTAAAGCAAAATACAAATATCTTAGGAAATTGTGTTTTCTATGATTTTTGAATATAATCTGTGGTAATGGCCAATAACAAATCTTTATTAAGCACTATTTTCCAGACTTTGTTCCTAAGTATAACACATGTATTAACTTATTTAATCCTTTTAGAAGCCCTATGATATATAGGTGCTAATATTATCATCATTTTACAGAAGAGGAAACTGAGGTCCAGAGAAGTTGTATAATTGACTCAGAGCCAAAACACTAAGGAAGTGGGAATGGCTTCTTACTTCTAGAACCTTGGTTCTGGATCTCACTGTCTTTAATCCCAACACCAAATAACTTCCTGGAAGGTGAAAAGAAACATTAAACTAAATTTGGTGTTGAGTGTCAATAAGTGGTACCAAAAACAAAGAGTTAATATTTTGTGTATAACATGATACACTTTTTATTATAATTAATAGAACTGCATTTTATGATGCTTTGTTCTTTGGAAGAACCAACTTTATTAACGCCACCAGTAAGAAAAAAAAAATCCTGGATTTTAGTGTACTGCATGATACCATATCCTCGCAATGTGAGTGTTAGTATTGCCCGGTGTTGGAAATCTGGTAGGTAGAGTAGGAATATGAAATTCTATTTGTCTGATCAATAAACAAATAAATATATTCCTGTGGTAACCAACCAGTTTTCAGTAAATGAATTGGCTCTCTTGTACTCTGTGTACTAATTCAATTTCCCACAGTGCACTTGGGCAGCATGTATTGTAAGAACTTTTCATAGTTCATATATTCTCCGACAATTTTCTTTTTAAAATCAAGGCCTTACAGAATGTATAGGGGAAGTTATTACCTGCTCCTAAAGATGATATCAAGCACACTTCAAATTTTTTTTTTTTAGATTTGGAAAGAATCTCTTCAAATGGATAGAGTATTAATATTTCTTAAGTCTTTTCAAGAAGGAACTTTAAAAAAAAAAATTTAGAGGGATTCCAGTGTAAATCAATTTTATTTGACCTGAATTTGCCCACATTAATAGTGAACACATTCAATAGATTGTTTTTCAGTTAAAGATATAGTAACTTTAATTTTATACTTTTTTAGGTATAAAAGTTTAGAAGTAAGATATGCTATTATTAAATATTGATAAATATTGATAATTGATTATATGCATTCCTTAAAATATAAAAGCACTAATATTAATTTGGTTGGTGTAGAAAGCATGGAAATATACTTAAAGCTTAATTTTTTTTTTTTTTTACTGTAATAGATAGATCAGATACTGATTCATCAGCAAATTGAGCTTCTGGAAGGTATGTATTCATTGTATTGATCATATTTCTAGAAAGAGAAGATGTTTTTACAGATAAAGGCATATCAGCAACCACAAATGTAACACTTTCACTGATTATTTATAAATGTCTCTCTTCATGATAATGAAATGATGGTAATTATCAGTAGCTCATTTCTGGAAATTAGGAGTCAACTGGTAAAATACTATTTTTCTGAGCATCTGTTCTCATGCTACAGACCCTAACTTACAAGGAAACCAATCAAAACTTACTTTTTCTCCCACTTCTCTCTAGAAATCATTTCAGCTGTTTTCTCCCCAGCCTATGATGATCTTGATATTGACACAGAACCAAATGCACTAGTTCAGATACCTTAGTACATTTCTAAAGCAAGTAAACTTCTTCAATTTGGATGGGTATGTTTTGGAAAATTGTATTCTTGCCCACAATTTTTTTTAAAGATTTTATTTATTTGAGAGAGAAGGAGAGACAGTGAAAGAGTACAAGCTGGGAGGAGAGGGAGAAGCAGGCTCCCCGCTGATCAGGGAGCCCGATGCAGGGCTCGATCCCAGGACTGGGATCATGACCTGAGCCAAAAGCAGACACCCAACTGAGTGAGCTACCCAGGCACCCCTCTTGCCCACAAATTTTATTAGGAGTTCATATGAACCCTGTAAGACCTCTGTTCTGTGGGCTGTGGATTATCACCTTGGGTACAGGGCTAATGCAGTGTTGGAGGATGCTGACCAACAGACCTGGAGGCCTGGCTTCTTAGAACAGCACTCCTGCTCATGTGAATGGCCAATAAATATTTCCTTGGATACATCACTCCTGAGATGCAAGGTAAACTTAGGAAGCCACTAGATATTTCAGGATTCTTGCCAGGGAAAAGAGAACCTGGATAGATTCATGAACTGTGGTGTCTTTCTTCTAGATATAAAGAGTTTAATGAACATTCATCTAGTTTTTAGAATATATCTGTTAAGTCCTTCTTCACCTCTCTGCAAAGTCCCTTTCCACTGGTAGAAATTGTAACATGAATTATAAAAGTAGAGCAATAGATGTGGTTAGAATATATAGTTGTTGCCTATTTTATTTAAATTGCTTATCCTGTTCACTGTTAGATATTTATAATGTTCTTGTTTTTGTTAGTTTGTTTATACTAACTTTTCTCTGGAAAGGTGTTCTTTGTTGTTTGATAATTTGTACTTTGAATTTTTTAATATTTTAAGAAATTTATTTTTGACATTATAAAATCAAACCAAACCAAAACAGACACTGTACATTATACAGCATTCCATTTATAGTTTTTAAATGTATGACTTTTATATATATTTATGAAATATGTATGTATTAATCATGAAAGGTAAATTCCAAATTTAGTAGTTCTTAATTCTGCAGTTTTCTAAAAGCAGTATTTTTAATTTTCTTGTTTTCTTTTCATCTCAATGAAAGTGTGTATTGTAAGATTATGATAGTATAAAGAGATGAAGATTACTCCATTTATTTTCAGCATCTGAGTGTACGACAGGCACTTACACACTTACCAAGTTAAAACTTCATAGACAGTAATGATAACCATAGAGATCTTTTGTTTTATTCTCATTTTTTGAGTAACTAGAAGGTAACTTAGATTAACATAATAATAATAAAAAAATAAAAATAAAAAGCAATGTTGGTAATAATAATAAAAAAAAGAAGGTAACTTAGAGATTGTGTAAACCCATTGATCTCATTTTACAGATAAACTATCTGAAGAATTTTGAGATTAAACTACTTAATGAAACACTTAGATAATAGATTTCATGTTATGAATCAGCTTAATTTTTTTCTCACAAAACATGTGACTGTCAGATGTTGAGGTCAAGCGTGGTTCTTTTAAAGAAAGAGTCCAAAGCCTATCTGAGCCAGAGCAAAGGCACTTAAGGGAGGTCATGATGATAGAATTTATGAAGCACATCTCTATCTGACTAAAAACATCCACACAGACATTAGAGAGTGTTTTTTGTCCCATATATATCTTTTAATCATTATTTTGGTGGCTCTGACATCCCATGACCCACGTCAACGAGGACTATGGACTAGTGGGACCATTAATTGTTCCTTTCTGGCTCTAAGCAAGGAGAGATTTGCAATGTGTGATTCAGTATGGGAAGCCCATTGGTAAGATATCACATGGGCATCAGCATCCCTGTGAAGAGATTAGCCCCCTCCAGAGTACAGAGCTTACTTAGGTTGCCAGTGGTCTACATAGCCTATGAGTTGCAGCCTTGGTTGCCAAGCACCTCTTCCGTTGTCTAATACCCATCTCCCACTTCTGAGTAACTACTGCTGAGCTAAACAAGGGTATTCTGGGTCCAATGTGATGTTCTAATTCACCTTCCATTTTCACCCTCTCCCTTTCTACACGTGTGCATTAGGAGTAAGCCCTATCATTACCTTCCCTCCATTGCAAAAACATAAGCCATGAATATGGTATATAAAAAAAAATGTATTTAATAGAATATTTCATAATCCCCTACATAATTGAATATATGAAAACTATACCAAGCAAGTGGATATTTTCTGCATACACCTAGCACAACTAAGACCGTTGTACCATCCCTCAGCAGCAGTCTGACTTTCTGACATTTCTTTGGAATTAGGAAGATATGAGTTGTTTTCTGTTCCATGTGTCACATAGGACTCTTCATTTCTCTATGCCTTAACACCCTCTCCTTCTTTCCCTTTCCCTTTTATCCTCCGTCTAGATCATCTCTAAACACCTTTCCTTTTCTTTCTCCCTGTGTTACTTGAAGTATCATCTGAAAGTGGCATAACTACATATTATAGTATCTTAGGACAGATTCAGTATTTTCTTAGCATAATGGTCATAATGATTTCCTCTTTTATGTTTGTAGTCTTAACAGGTTTTGAAACTAATAACAGATATGAAATTAAGAACAGCTTTGGACAGAGGATTTACTTTGCAGCAGAGGATACGGATTTCTGTACCCGAAATTGCTGTGGGGCTTCTAGGCCTTTTACCATGAGGATTCTTGATAATATGGGCCAAGAAGTTATAACTCTGGAGAGACCACTAAAGTGTGACAGCTGTTGTTTCCCTTGCTGCCTTCAGGAGGTCAGTGAGCAATTACCAGGGTCATCTGTAAAGTAGGTCAGCAAGGATTTTTACCCTTTCATTGAATTATGTAATCAAATGAGATTTAAAGGAAAATTGGTCCATAAGCTCTTAGTTTATACTTGAGAGTAAATTGTCCAAGAAGAAAGGCAGTGGAAAACAATGAACAGTTAGCCCCATGGCCATGAGTAGTGTGTCTCGTGAAGTTGAGATCAGAGATTTCAGGGACGAGGCTTCTTGATCTTTATGGAAAGCTAAGAAGGTAGGGCAAGTCCCTAACCTACAAGGAACATGAAAAGCCCGGCCAAAGCCAGAGCAGTGACACCATAGAGAATATCCTAGAATATCCTACATGTGTTCATCCCACAGTTTGGGCCAACCTCGCAGAGGGGCCCTCTCTGAAAAATTTCAGTGCCTGTTTTTTTATATATCCATAGAAATTATGAATGTATTTGAGCCCCCTGTAAGAGGTATACACTAGTTGTGAGTACCTTTAGCTCCATAAAGACCAGGTGTCTATTTCATTTACTTGGCAGCCCACTAATAGGGAATGTGGATCTCAGGGGAGATGCTGGGGCACAGAGAGTTTATAGGGAAGTTGATTTTTGCCTGTGTCTCCATTGGCCTGAGACCAGCCCTGCCGGGGCCACTCAGTCATTCCACAGAGGGAGCTGTGCTAGCCTGACAGACACAGTTACAAGCACATGAATATTTGAAATCTAATACTGTACATATTTTAAAAGGTTAACTGAAGTTATTCATGCTGAATTATTTATTTTCCATATCATTTAGGTTAGATATAGTAATATTTATCCAGGAATATCTGAGGAAAAACTGGGAGTTTGATGTAATATGCTCTACAATATAAAGTGTACATTAACATATATTACACTATTGTAAAAAACGGAGCTAGGAAGTCATTTACTGATGAGCACACTGAGGTACTTTCAAGGTCACCTAGCTAAGTGGCAGAGCCAAAATTCCAGGCTTCATTTTCTTTCCATTTTGGCACCATTGCTACTCATATTTAGTATCTGCACCATGACCAGAGCTGTGTTCCTACATCTAAACCACTGTTTTTAAAAAAAGTTAAGAAAAGAGTTCCTTAACAATTTAGACATTTTTCATAAATATGGAGATTAAAAAATGTACAAAGGCCAGTGGAGCAAAGCTTTAGTGGAGACGATGCATGCAGCCTGCCCAGGTTTGTACCTCATCTTTTCTTCTTTGTAGTTGGGAATCTGATACAAGTTAATTCACTTCTTTGCTCCTCAGTTACTTTCTCTATAAATAGGGATAATAGTACCAACCTTTTAGAGATGTGTTATGAATTAAGGTGCTTAAAACAGTGTCTGACACTTCAAAAGTATTCAATAAATGAGTTATTACTAGACATTATAATTATTATGATTTATATATATTCTCTTGCTTTTATAGATAGCAATCTATGCTCCTCCTGGTGTACCTATAGGTTATGTTATTCAGATCTGGCATCCATGCGTGCCAAGGTTTACAATTCAAAATGAGAGGAGAGAGGATGTACTAAAAATTATTGCTCCATGTCTTCTATGCAGCTGTTGTGCAGATGTTGATTTTGAGGTAAGAGATGTGGTGATGTTTACAGGTCTTGCTTTCCTCGTAAGGGGTAATATAATTTGGGAGGATGTTACAAATAAATTTGTGTGTCCTGATATTTCAAGAGGAAGACAGTGTGCTTTTATATTTAACTTTGGTCAGAGAGGTGATTAATGCTCTGATGAAGCATCAGTGTTGATTATACTAAATGGAAAAAAAGAGAAGCAGAGTCTTGTGGTCAAATAAATAGATATAAGCAAAACATCCAACATTTGAACATGGTGGTGTCTATATGGACGCTCTGTATATTAACCATTTTAAATAAAATGTGAACCTCGTCATCTAAGTCTGATTGCCAAGGCATATGAATCCTTCCCTAGGCTGAAATACAGGCTGCCAGTGCTCTGGATTCTCTTCAGAAGTTCTGACATCTTCGAGTTCCTACAAAAAGCTCACTTATGCAAAGAGTTTTAAGAAAGAGAGTAAGATATACTTCCCAATTATGCCTCTTTTTATCCTTGTGTTAAATTTGGTCACTGTAAACCACAATTTATCTGTGTATTTACTACATGGAGGAATTTCATTACAGCAGTTTTTCCATAGATGGCCTAGCCTCGTAGCTCAAATTATTTAGTTGCAAATGTATAAAAATAGGGAGATTTTATAACTTAATCTTGATCTCATGATTCTCTTGGAAAATCACAAAACACGTTAAGCTGGACCAACATTTCCACAAAAAGGAGCAAAAATCTAAAACTGAGCAGGGCTGCCCCTTATGATAAGATGTGTGAAATCTGACACTGTCCCCTGACTTCCTACAGTTTTCCACTGTCCAGCTCCATTCTTGGTATTATCTGCCTGGCTTCTTTAATCATATGATTTCTAATTCCTCTGTTAGACCCTGGTTATATAAAAATGAATCCTTCCCCTCAGTGACTTCAGAGTCGAATGAGAGAGATAGGCAATTCTAAGAAAACACGTGATAGAGACTTTATAAAGACTCTTACAAAGTCATATACATAGTGTAAGGGGGGAATTGAGGGGATGTATACTATGCATGTGTAAAGACTTTATAGTTTTTTTTTGTTGTTGTTGTTTTTTTTTTTTTGACAGAGAGAGAGCACAAGTAGGCAGAGAGGCAGGCAGAGGGAGAGGGAGAAGCAGGCTCTCTGCTGAGCAGTGAGCCCGATGCGGGGCTCGATCCCAGGACCCCAGGATCATGACCTGAGCCGAAGGCAGCCACTTAACTGACTGAGCCACCCAGGCGCCCCAAGACTTTATAGTTTTTGTATAATAAAAGTTCTCTATGTAGGAGTTATCATTCCTATGAAAGAGCCAGAAGACTGAGAGGTAATTGTTCTTTCAGCGAATATTAATAGAATTTTTGCTGACATATACTTTATTTGTAGAAAATAAGTGAAAATACTCGTGGAACAAGTGAAATTGGATTGTGAAACTTTTATATTTAATGCTAAGGAATTTAGAAATCTCCCAGCAACCCTTCTCAGTGGATGCCTTAAAGCATCCATTATATGTAATGAATTAACTACTCTCCTGTGCATCTAGAATGATGCTAACTGGGTAACATCTTTGAGGGAGCTGAGAAAGTGGTCCCTTGAATCATTTTCTGTAGGCTAGGTAATGAAAAGTTTGGAAGCAGGAATTATCAGTACGAGGAGCCACTATGGAACATGGACTCCGTCATAGTGTCCATGGTATGGAAACAGAGTAGAAAAGAGACAATGGCCTGAACGAAACAGGAGCAGGAACCATCCTAAAGGGAGAAATAATTTGGAGACATTTCATAAGTATACCAAGTGGGACTGATTCATGGCTTTGATGTCAGCTGAGCATGAAAGAAAATTTGGAGATGATTCTGATTCATATTGTTCTAATATCTGACGTTTAAGAAGCTCAATGAGGGGCGCCTGGGTGGCTCAGTTGGTTAAGCATCCAACTCTTGATTTCTGCTCAGGTCATGATCTCAGCGTCGTGAGACTGAGCCCTGCAATGGGCTCCATACTGGGCATGGAGCCTGCTTAAGATTCTCTCTCCCCCTCTCCCTGCCCCCTCCCCTGCCCCTGCTCTCTCAATCCCTCCCTCTCTCTCTCTCAAAAAAAAAAAAAAAAAAAAGAAGAAGAAGAAGCTGAATGGATAATGATGCCATTAGCCAGGTTAACAAACTTGGAGAAGAAACAGTTGATTTGTGAGAACCTCATAATTTGTATTTGAGTTATGTTGGATTTTTGGTATGTAGAGAAAAAGTTTGGGATATGTTCAGCATATAGATGGTAGTTGAAGCCATGAGATTGTCCCAAGGGTGAGTAGAAGAAAGACAACTAGACTTTTTATCCCATGGAGGCAATAAGGGAATCTGTCTCCTTCCAGGACTTTTGGTAGGGGAAAAAAACAACAACTATGAAACTGCTAATACATTATAGTCCCCTCTATGAGTCTGAAGTCTGAATTCATACCACTGTTATGAATGAGGAACGTCATAACATAGAAATTGATCCTGAGTGGTGACGACAAATGACAGAATTAAATGCAAAAGCACACTAGAAAGAGATCACCAAAGATTGATTATCAAAACACTCTCTGTTCCTATAGAAAAAGCTGATATTCACAAGAACAGATCAAAAATTACATAATGTTCTAAGAATTAATTCACCACCAACAAACTGCATATAATACAACAGTCTGCAATCAATCATATAAGAAATATCTAAATAAACATTAAAGAGGCTAAAGAAGAAACAAAAAAAGGTCATAAGGGGAAAATGAGACTATTTGAAAAAGGACAGGAGGATCTGAAAACAAACCAAATAGAAATTCCAGAAATAAGGAACACTCATTGATGAAATCTCATTGGAAGGGTTGAGCTGAAACCCCTCATTGGGTTGAGCTGAAAATTAGATACAGGTGAAGAGGGAATTAATGAACTGGATGATCTATATGAGGAAAATAAATAGGAGGGTGGGAAAAGATAAATTTGAAGGGACCAAAAAAATTTAAAGGATTGTGAAAGCTAGAAGAAACTACTCTTGCATGTGCCAAAGAGAAGTCACAGAAAAAGAGAATACAGACAATGTGCCAAGATAATATTCAAAGAGATAAATGGATAAAATCATGCAGACTTAATGCCATGGTTTCTCAGATTCAAAAAGTACAAGGAGTTTTGAGTTAGAAGAAGAAATGACACCCACATACAACTTGAACTGCAAACTTCAAACTAAAAAGGGAAATTGAAAATCAGCAAGTGGGAGGGGGGAAGGTTATCTCTAATATGTAATTCCCTGACCATTAGGGATTATGAACATTTTACTCTAACTTGACTGGCTACTTGTGTTTGCTCTCTTTGAATTGTCTATTCATATCCATTGCCTGTATTTTTATTGGGTTGTTTACTTTTTTCTTGTCAATTTATAAATGTAATTTGTATGCTGAAGACATTGACCCTGCATCTGTCCTCTGATCTGCAAATAGTTTCCACAAATCTACCCTTTCTTTGTGGAACTTATATATATTTATTTATATTTTTATATTTATATACAAATATGTGTCATATATAGTTGCATATATCTATTTTAATATATTCTCATTCTCCTGTCTTGATTATGAAGTTATCCCCAACTTTATATTTTATTTACTCCTTTTTTAATCTTTTTATATTTAAATCTTTAACTTACCAGTAATTTTATTTGTTGAAGATAGGATCAAACATTGTTTTCCTTCAGATGGCTAGACAGCTGTGTCATCACAATTTATTAAGTATTCATTCCTTGCTGAATTGAAATACTGTACATTAAATTCCCATAAATAATGGAATCTATTTCTAGATTCTCCTCTGTTTCATTGATCTAATTATCTGTTCTTACAACAGTGCCTTATGATTCAATTATGGCAACTTAATGATGTATTCTATATCCGGTCATAGCCAAACAGCCACTTATATTCTTCTTTATCATATTTTTTGGTACTATCAGATTTTTCCTTTCCTGTGAATATTAAGGCAATTTTTCAAAAGTTAGAATCCTGGGGCGCCTGGGTGGCTCAGTTGGTTAGGCGACTGCCTTCGGCTCAGGTCATGATCCTGGAGTCCCGGGATCGAGTCCCACATCGGGCTCCCTGCTCAGCAGGGAGTCTGCTTCTCCCTCTGACCCTCCTCCCTCTCATGCTCTCTGTCTCTCATTTTCTCTCTCTCAAATAAATAAATAAAATCTTTAAAAAAAAAAAGTTAGAATCCTATTAGTATTGTATTAAATCTGTATACAATTTTTTAAAAATTAGCATTTTTGTGATGCTAAATCTGTCTCATCCCAGAAGTGTTATGTCTTTTTATTCATTCATATCTAATTTTATATTCTTCATAAGATCAGATGGGTTTCTTTATATAGAATCTCTATCTTTTTTGTTAAAATTTTCCTAGGTAATTTATAGGCATTATCACTATTAAGAAGGAATATAGATGTATTAGGTACTTATTCTTAATATTGAAAAAGGCTATTTATTTTTTTACCTTTTATCCAGTCTTCTGACTGGATTCTAGTATTTAACTTAAGAAACATTTTTGCTTATTTATACTTGTTTTTTCTAGTTAAAAATTACAAAGTGAAATCATTTTAACTTCTCATGTTTATTTACCAATTAGCTCATTTTCTTTTCTAGTCTACTTCAGTGGCAAAACTGAATAGTAATGCCAATTGTGAGAATACCTGCCAAGTTGATGCCTTCAATTGAAATGTTTCACAATTTAAAAAAACATTGACTATTATTTTTCATATTGTTTTCTAGTCCTATTTTACCTAGAGTAGGAATTAGCAAAAAAAAAAAAAAAAATTTAAAAGATGAGATAGAAAACATTTTAGACTTTATGGGTCATATGGTCATTGTGTGCAACTATTCAAGTCTGTCATTGTAGCATGAAAATAGTTACAGACAATATATAAACACTGCATATAACTGTGTCCTATTATGACTTTTTTACAAAAAAGGTGGCTAAGCTAGATTTGGCCCACTGATCATTGTTTGCTGACCCCTGACCTAGTTTTTATTAAGAATTGATACCTAAGTATCTAAAAGCAGGGTATCAGAGTGGTCATGTTTATAGATTCTGGAACAGAGTGCCTGGGTTTGAAATCCTCCCCACGACTCCTTAAATGTGAACTTAGACAAATTATTTAACCTCTACTTGCCTCAGTTTTTCCATATGAAAACTGTGTTTAATAATAGTACATATTTTGTAAAGATACTGTGAGGGGGGAAAAATCACCTGATACTTATAAAGCATTTATATGTTACACATATGCTAAATGTTGTATAAATGCTTAATTAGCTAATAAATAAAATACTTTTTCAGCATCTGATATACCAATATGTTTTGAATTATATGATGTCCTAGCATTATACAATTTATTACACTATATTCTTCTGATACTTACCTAGGTTCTATGTACTAATGTTCTATTTGAATTTTTTGCATTTATATTTATAAGATGAGCCTATAGATTTATTTTTAGAATACCACTATCAATTATCAGTACAAATGTATAGGTATATAATATTAGTTTATTGTTTCTAGAAGTTGCAATCATTTTATTGTATAAATTTTCCATTTTTAAATACCTAGAATTTGGCTAAAAATTATCTAATCCTATTTACTTTCCAGTTATAAATCATTATTCACATTTCTGAGCCTTTTCATAAAAAATTACATGTTCTACTTACATAAATTTTGGTAAATTTTTAAATTTCTTACTATAGGAATAAAGAGAAAAGTCAATATTGGTTAAATCTAGTGGTAGGATTATGGTGGCTTATAAATTATCTTTTGTATATTTCATTTTAAAAATACTTCAGAAATTAAAAATGACTAAATTTAAAAATAAATATAAGATTTTATTACTAGCTTCAAATGCTGAGGACAGCTATTAATGTATAAAACACAGGGGCGCCTGGGTGGTGCAGTTGGTTAAGTATGTGACTCTTGGTTTCAGCTCAGGTCATGATCTCAGGGTCCTGGGATCCAGCCCTGTGTCAGGCTCTGTGCTCAGTGTGGAGTCTGCTTGAGATTCTCTCTCCCTCTCCTTCTACCCCTCCCACTTACGCTCTCTCTTTCAAATAAATAAATCTTTAAAAGCAAACAAAAAACACAGGTATGCAAGAGGAATTTGTATTAGTCTGTTTAGCCACAATAATGTTGCATAACAAATAACCCCTAAAGCTCAGTGGCTTAAAACTACAGGTATTTATTCTCATGCTAATGGATATGCAGGTCAGTTGTGTCTCAGGGAATATACCCAGGCTCAAGCTAGATGGCTCTGATTTGGGCTGTAAGTTGGCCTCAGGTCTACTCCAGGTTATTCATTCTGGAGCTGTAGCAAATGCAGCTACCTGGATCATGTATTTCTAGTGGCTGATCACTGGAGAGCAAGAGCCAGGCCAAACTACTTAACCATGTTTGAGGCCTCTGCTCATGTCACATTTTCTAACATTCCATTAGTCAAGCAAGTCATATGGCCAACCCTAAATATCAGTGTACAGGGACATATACTGGGCCTTCAATTGGTGGGGGAGGGTAGTGCATGAATATTTGCTGAACAGTAATCTATGCTATCACAGTCAAGTTAGAAGTTTATTTCAGATTTGTAAAAAACCCATCCACCCATGCCAAAATAAAATGAGTCAGCTGTTTTTAATTTCCCCGCATTTTTTTTAAAGATTTTATTTATTTGTCAGAGAGAGAGAGGGCACAAGCAGGGGGAGCAACAGAGGGAGAGGGAGAAGCAGGTTCCCGCTGAGAATGGAGCCCGATGTGGGACTCAATCCCAGGACTCTGGGATTGTGACCTGAGCCAAAGGCAGACACTTAACTGACTGAGCCACCCAGGTACCCCTAGTTTCCTCACATTTATTTTGCTGTTCTCAACCTGAGCTAGGGCTTCTGTGGGTGTTGCTAGCACTTGTGGTACCTTGTGCACATTTGAAAAGGACACTTCTCTTCCTGGTTTGACATAACTCTGCATGCACATACCATGATAAGTGTGGGATAGCCCACACTTAAGATGGCCCTGGGCTTTCCTCAGGCAGAATTGTAAAATTAGAAAATTTTACTTTGGAGCTCTTTTTATCATCTGTCCTTTTTGTTGTTCACTGTCCATCCACCCCACTGTTCAGTCTTACCCCAACTCTTGACCTGTGGCATCCCATCAAGTTACTTATTGGTTATTTTCCTTTACTCAAAACTGCCAGTCTTCTTTTCCAGGCTCTTTGCATTTCATATTTTCCTACTGATGGTGGTAATGACTCCCATCACATTTAAACACTCAACTTACGTAAACTCTCTGTGCTTCTCTTACAGCATGGGGGATTAATTTAATACCTTCCTGATGGCTTCTAGAAATTTCACCAAAGAAACATTTTATATTTGTATCTTTTTCTGCTTAAATTTTGTTTTAGATCAACTCAATTCATCAATTACTGTCTTAATGTAGAATAGAAAATGTTAAATATTTAAGCAAAACTACTTTCATGTTAAGTTCTCTGAAACAAAGAAACAGGTTTCTTTTTTCATGCATCTAAAAGTAGATACAAGAATCTATATACATTTAATGAGTGATATAATGTTCATAGTTAAGTATTGCACATAATTTTGATAGAGTGATATTTCACTTTATTTCAACTTTTAGTTTGTTACTAGTTTTCTAGAATTCATTAAGAATTTTTTTTTTTCATTTTAGATTAAATCTCTTGATGAAGAAAATGTGGTTGGAAAGATTTCCAAGCAGTGGACTGGTTTCATGAGAGAAGCATTTACAGATGCTGATAACTTTGGCATCCAGTTCCCTTTAGACCTTGATGTGAAAATGAAAGCTGTGATGCTCGGTGCATGTTTCCTCATTGTGAGTCTATTCTTGCTAATCTTGGGTTTAGATGGTTTTTCTAGTATCATTCTGAAATGATTTAGTAAGTTGTACATTTTTAAATGACCTTGTTAAATTTATAGGTTTTATTCCAAGGGGGCCCCTTTTAATTCTAGCTCTGAAATTTCATTATCTCCTGGTATTCTCTGGGTTTGCAGGTGACTAGTTTCTCTGGAGAGTCTATGCAGTTTCATTTGGTAACAGGAGGACCTCATGTGTTAAGGAGGGGCCCTGGTCTTTGGGGTTTTTATTTAAAAATTGAAGTCAGTACTGTGAAAAAGAGTTTGAATTTGGGCTTACATGGAATAGACTCAGTAAAACAAGATTCTGTCTTGATTCATTATTAAATTAAATCATCTAATACAGGAGTGCAAACTGCAATAAGAGTAAACATCCAATCAAGCCATTAAGTAGAACTGCCATTTGAAAGGAATTATGTGGGATAGAGCTGTGATTCTGAACTTATCTTCACATTTAATCAGCCAGGGAACTTTAAAAAAACCGCAAGGATCAAGATGTACCCCAGTTTAAATTAGAGGCTCAGAATTAGAAGTTTGTATAGTTCCCCAGGTGACTCCATATGCAGCCAAAATCAAGGACTCCTGGGACAGACCAAGAGTATCCAACCCTAGCTGCTCAGTAGAAACACCTGGATAGCTATCACATTCCCTTTGTCAAGACTGCATCCAGATAGTAAATCAAAATATCTGAAGTGGGACCAAGCCTGCAAGCTGTTTAGAGCATCAGGTGATTCCAATATGCAAGGAAGGTTTGGAGCCACTAGATGAACATCTTAAACACTGACATGGGGATGCAATGCCAAAAACACTAAAAAGTGAGAAAATATACAGAAAAAGAATCCAGTTACTTCAACAAATAAGTGTCAGTAAAATGAAAAGATAAAAATTATATAAAAAGAGAGAGAAACTTAAGCAATCTCAACTTAATGCAATTTATAGATGGTATTTAGATACTGATTTGAACAAATGAATACAAAAAGACATTTAGAAGGAATTCAGAGAAATTTGAACATTGACTGGCTATTTGATGATATTAATAGATTATTATTTTTAAAAAATATGCTAATGATATTGAGCTTATATAAAAACAAAAGAGTCCAAATTTTTAGGGGCACACACTGAAGTTGAATTTCAGCATAAAATGGTAAGATATCACAGATTTGCTTTTAAATAATGAGGGTCAGGGCAGGGGGATTTAGGAGATAGAGTAATTAATGAACCAAGATTGGTCATGTTAATAATTATTAAAACTTGGTGAGTGGCCATTAGGATTTTATTTTGCTACTCTATCTAATTTGGGATAGGCTCGATGTTTTCTGTATAAAGTTTTAAATATAACCACAGTTCGGTTTAAAAACTGTGTTTTCACTGTTTATTTCATGTGAAAAGTAAAATTAAATTTAACCTTAGGAAACTGTTTGACCAGAGGTACACACACAATAACCAAAGATATGGTGTATAAAGGAAGAGAGGACAGTCTGGGGTGTTTGGATAGATGAGAAATGGGGTTGGGAGTTGTGGTGGGGTTATTAGGAAATGACTGTGGTGTACATTGGGCCTCTTCTAAAGGACTTTTAAAGATTGGACAACTTCTTGTAGATGTGGGGAAGATAGTGAAAATTATTTAGTTAATTGGTTGGTTTTAAACTAGGTATAAATAAAAAGCTATAAATCCAAATCTCAGAAAGATAAATCCTGGTGACTATGTAAGAAATGGATTGATGAGAGGTAAAATTAACAACAGTGCACTTGCAAGTGAATGATGATAAGGATTAAATTATTTCTGTGTGAACAGATAAAGGAAAATGATAGATGTGAGAGAAAATCCATAGGATTTGATGAAAGTCATAGGGAAGGGGGTCTGATTAGACACTGATGTAGTGAGACAAGTTGGGGAACACAGTGGACAGGTTTGTGAGAGAAATCATAAAACTGGGCCAAAAAAATCTAAGATGCATGCTACCTTTAAGATGGCTGTCATTCTCCTGAGAAAATCTGAAAGTTTTAAGAAACTTAAAACAACTTTAAGAAAAGTTGTATTACTAGAGAAGGAGTACAAAAAGTTAAGGAAGAAAGATCAAAAATAGGAATATTCTGAGTGGCATGAGAAAAAGTGAAATTTAGAAAAATTACCAGAGAATAAATTAAATTCATGCAGGTTATCAGTAAGCGAATAGAATTACAGGATTTACATGTTATTATATTTGAAAGCTATCAACTTTTCCCAGATGTTCCCTGCTTTGTTGCTGAAAACTCATTTCTGTATTTTTGTTTTTATCTAGGACTTCATGTTTTTTGAAAGGGGTGGAGACAGAGAATAAAAGGAGTGTGGTAGTGGATTAATGAAAGTCTCCTCAGAAAGTTTGAAGTCTGTGTATTGATTGGGACTATGTAAAAGAAAAGCTCACTGTTTTTTTTTTCTTTATTGAAATGACTTATAGCATATGTGAATTATACTGTGATGCCTGAAGCTCCTGTTATATATGACTTTTCAAATTATGAGTTTATTTTCTATATCACTTACTTAAAAACGTTTTTATGCATTTCTTTTATGTCATACATCTTCTTTTTCTTTATGTATTTTGAAGAAAGGACATGGGAATTTTTACATTCAATCATGAAACTTCCCATGGTAAATTGTTTTGAACTGTAATCTCTTTTATTTTCAATTTTTAGAGAAAATTATTTAAAGCCTTATCAAAGTAATTTTAATATAAAAAGTTACATTTTATTAAATATAGTTCCAATTTACTTCACATGTGTAACAACTGTTATTTTGCAAATACCATATATTCACATAAGTTAAAAATCAATATAATTTCAGTTTCCTTTACAATGTCAAAATAATACTTAATATTCATATTACCAAGGAACATAAAATGTGTATTTTTTGTTCAGCAAATTACAGTATATTTAATTTCTTTTATAAGCTAATCTGCTACTATAAAAAGATTTTCGTATTGACAAGACAATATTACTGATGTTTTAATGATTTCCAATGAAAAAGATATGTCCTAAAGAAGAACACATTTAAAGACTCACTATAAAACTGGAACATTGTTGTAATTTTTGAAGTAATTATTTACACATGGAATGAATGGTTAGCTCCTGTATTCATTTTATCATTCATAGAGCATAATAGTTATGAGGTCACTCAGGTATTAAATAGAACATATATATGCATCTGAGTAGAAACTTCAGTAATGGTCTGCTGGATTATTTACACCAACAATCAAATAACTGATTTAAAAATTATTCATACATTTCTTTGCATATTTGATTTTTATTTTTAAATAAACTGTGAATAGTCAATTTAGATGGTATTCTGAACATTACACATTTACCACCTGTTCCCTTTCAGATCTTCTTTAAAAGTAGCAAACGCATATGATGATCTTTATTAAAATCCATACCAGTGCTGTAAAGTAATATTTCTACCTGTCAGAAATTTAAAGGAATTTTTATACTCTATTTTGTAGGAAAGAGGATACGTCTAATTCACAATTTAACTAATGCAAAGAAAAAGTGTGTTTAGGAAATAAGGACTTGGGGGGAGAGACTCCCGTTCATCTTTAGCAGAACTCCAGCAACACCACTAGCTCCTAGTGTTGAGAACATTGGGATGGCAGGGGAGCTACAGGGAAAGTGACGACCTTTCATTAGCCCAGACAGCCGGCAGATTCCAATAATGAGGTGTAACTGAGACACTCGTGTTGAGTTTACAGTTGGTACAGACAGCATGCCAGAAAAAATGAAGGTACTTTCATTGCTGTTTCTTAGTGGCAACATCTTACTTTCATTTTCCCTCTGCTCTCCTACTCCTCCTCCCCGTTCTTTGCATAAGATTCAGGAACTCTAGTTAAGCAAAATAAAACTACAACTGATCTAGGGGGGTGGAGCAAGATGGTGGAGGAGTAGGAGACTTGGATTTCGTCTGGTCTCAGGAATTCAGCTGGATAGGGATCAAACCATTCTGAACACCTACAAACTCAA